ACTATAATGCACCTTTTAAAAATGTAGAAAGAATAAAAAAGCAATTTGTCATTGAAGGTCATAAATTGGTTATAGAATGGCTGAGGATATAGCTCAGTTGGCAGGGTGCTTGCCTAGCATGCACAAGGCCCTGGTTCAATCCCAGTACCACTAAAAAAAATGGATTATGGCATTAGCTGATTATTTAAGAATGTAGAGATTTTTAAATGGCAAGCAGCAATGGCATATGTATTTGTTACAATCTGAATGTTTATGTCCCCTCAAAATTCATATGTTGAAACTGTTGGGCTGGCAGCTTTCCCTTCCCCTTCCCATCGAGGCCATGGGCAGGAACTTTTCACCAGGCTAAAGAGACTCAGCCCTTAAACTTGGCCCCTAAACCCTGCTCAGCCAAACTGCCTGAGAGTGCCCCCAGCTCCCACTTCCCAATAAAACTCCTTTTCGTGGCTTATTCTTTTTGTTTTTCTATTTTTCAGTTGTAGTTGGACACATTCTTTATTTAATTTTTTTATGTCATGCTGAGAATCGAACCCAGGGCTTCGCATATGCTAGGCGAGTGCTCTACCGCTGAGCCACAACCCCAGCCCCATGGTAGCTTATTCTTGTTCCATGGTTCCTGGCCTCTTGTGCCCTTTTCTGCTTTACAAAAACGTAATCTAAAATGTGCTGGCAGTAGGAGATGGGGCCTTTGAAACATGATTACATCATTATGGCAGAGCCTCATAAAAGAAATTAGTGTCCTTTGGAAAGAAGCCCCAGACCCAGAAGGCACCTGTAATCCTAGCAACCTGGGAGGCTGAGACAGGAAAATTCCAAGTTGTAGAACAGCCTCAGCAACTTAGTGAGGCCCTAAGTAACTTAGCAAGCCCTGTCTCAAAATAAAAAATAATAATAAAAAAAAACGACTGGGGAGGGGGATCAGTGATTAAGTGCCCCTGGTTTTAATCCCCAGTAGAAAAACAAAACAAAATAAAAAATCGCTGCTGCCATTTTACCATGTGAGAACACAGATAAAAGGCTCCATCTGTGAACCAGGAAACAGGGCCTACCAGATAATGAATCTGTTGGTGTCTTGATCTTGGACTTCTCAGACTTTTGAATTGTGAAAAATACATTTCTGCTATTTATAAGCCACCCAAATTATGGTATTTTTATAGCAACCCTAACAGACTAAGACAGTGTTATATGAGATACTTATAAAAAGAATTTTTGACAGGGGTTATAATGCCAGTGAGTGTTTGTGAACAGGATTTTTCATGAGAGAAAGCTGTAGGTACTCTGTCAATGGTGTTTATTTCTAAATAGAAAGATTCAGAGGGGTCATGGATCAGAAGTTTTTGAGGATATTTTTGGATGGAGTGGTTTTTTTCTCCAAACAGGCTCATGAATGAAAGATTTGCCAGTGGGTAGGTGTTATGGTTTAGTTATGAGGTGTCCCCAGAAAGCTCATATATGAGACAATGCAAGAAAGTTTAGAGGTGAAATGATTGGGTTATGAGAGTTTTAAACTAACCAGTGAATTAATCCCCTGATTGGAATTAACTGGGTGGTAACTGAAGGCAGATACTGTGTGGCTGGAGGAGGTAGGTCATTAAGGGTGTCTGTTGTGGTGTATATTTTGTCTATGGTGAGGGGAGGCTTTCTCTGCTTCCTAGTGCTATGTCCCCAAATGCTTTCCTCCGCCACACTCTTTGGCTCATCTCAGGCCCCGAGGAATGGGGTCAGCCATCTATGGACTGAGACCTCTGAAACTGTGAGCCCCCAAAATAAACTTTTTCCTCCTTAAATTGTTCTCATCAGGACTTTTGGTCACAGCACCAAATAAAAAATGTTAACTAAAACAGTAAATATCTATAAAAGGGAGATTGCCCAATGGGAGTCATCAATGGGAATGTCAGTAAGATATTCATGAATAGAGGAAATAGCTCAGAAGTGATCACAGTTTGCAGAATCCTAAGAATGAATCACAATATGTTTTGCCCTTGTATGAACTCCTTGAGTGTGAGTAAAAACCTGAGTATGATGAGATTTCATGCTGTGATTACAGTACATTATATGGCAAAAGGGATCATGCAGATCTAATTAAGGTTATGAATTAGTTGATTTTAAAATAGGGAGATTATTCAGGTGAGCCTAATCTAAATACAGGAACCTTTTAAAAAGACAGTTTTCTCCTGCTGATGGCAGAAGAGGAAGTCAGGGAGATTGGAAGCATGAGAATCATTTCGCATGTCCTAGCTGGCTTTGAAGATGAAGAGGCCCAGGTGATGATTTATGTTAAGCTAATTTTGTGGCAATTTGTTATAGATCTCTCTCTGTCAATAGAAAATGAATACATTTTTTTTATTGTTTGTAACAGGGATTGAACCCTGGGGCTCTTAACCACTGAACCATATCCCCAGCCCTTTTTTATATTTTATTTCGAGACAGGGTCTTGCTGAGTTGCTTAGGGCCTTTCTAAGTTGATAAGGCTGGCCTCAAACTGGCAATCCTCATGCCCCAGCCTCCCAAATTGCTGGGATTATAGGTGTGTGCCACTGCGCCCAGCAATACATTAGTATTTGCCAGTGGGTATTTGTGAAAGATAGCATATGGCACATTATAGACAGAGGACTTTTTGTTTGCTGTTTTTAGATATGCATAACAGTAGGGTGCATTTTGACTTATTGCGCATGCATAGGGTGCAATTCATTATAAATTTGATCTCATTCTTGTGGTTGAACATGATATGGAGTTACACTGGTCATGTATTCTTATATGAGCATAGGAAAGTTATGTCCCATTCATTCTACTTGTCTTTTCTATTCCCATCTCCCCTCCCTTCCCTTCATTCTGTTTGTTTAATCCAAAGAACTTTAATACTTCCCCTCCTTATACTCCCTTGTTATAGATTAGCATCCATATATCTGAGAGTACATTCAACCATTGGTTTTTTGGAGCTGGCTTATTTCACTTAGCATGATAGTCTCCAGTTCCATCCATTTACCAGCAAATGCCATAATCTCATTCTTCTTTAAGGCTGAGTAATATTCTATTGTGTATATGTACCATATTTTCTTTATCCATTCATCTGTTGAAGGGCACCTGTGTTGGTCCCATAGTTTAGCTATTGTGAATTGAGCTGCTATAAACATCGATGTGGCTGCATCACTGTAGTATGCTGATTTTAAGTCCTTTGGGTATAAACAGAGGAGTAGGATAACTGGGTCAAGACAGAGGACTCTTCAAGGGAATTTATTAACAAGGGTTTAGGGATATGCTATCTATTGTCTAGGTGACAATCAATATTTATAAATGTGGGGACTTTCTCAGTGAGGACTGCATAATGGAAAACTGTTATGGGTTGGCTTGCTTTCTCCCACTACCACCAAACAGGCATTGAAGTCCTAACCACCAGGCTTCCAAACATGACCTTACTTGGAAATAGGAAGAGGAACATTATTACTTGAGGGGTGATTGTCCATGGAAGTCTTTGAAATGTTGGTATTTGCCAGTGTGAGGGGTTTTCACACTATAAAACAGTGTACAAGTCTCATAATGAGAATAAAAACTTTATAAATGAGCATATTCTGTTTGTAACGCCTCTAGGAGAGATTGTCAGAATCATGAGTCAAATTGAAATTGCTGCATGAAATTATTGCTGCTAATACTATACATTATTCTGATATTGTAAAATACCATTCCTAGTCTTAAACATGATTTAAAATCCTGAAAAGAATCATTAATGATAAGATTTATAACTAATAATTAAATTATATTTATGATTACTACTACTAATAATAATTAATACAGAGGGCTGGCTTATGTGTCTAGCACTATTATAAGCTCTTCACATATATGATTTTATATAATATTCATATTGTCACCAGTGTGGTGGTGCACACCTGTAATCCTAGCAACTTGGGAGGCTGAGTCAGGAGGATTGTAATTTCAAGGCCAGCCTCAGCAACTTAGCCAGACCCTGTCTCAAATTTTTAAAAACGAAGGACTTGGGATGTAACTCAGTGGTAAACTACCCCTGGATTTGATCCTTTGTACTTCAATAAATAAATAAACTGAAAAAAATATTCACATTGTCCCTATGAGTTAGGTATTATTTTTGTTCCCATTTTATAGATGCAAAAACTGAGGCATAGAACACTAATATGATTTCCAAAGACACAGAACTAGGACAAGGCCAGGGCAGGATTTTCCCCAAAATTTTAAGCAGGCACTAATGAAAGTTTAAAAAAAAATCTTTCACGATTCCCAGAAGTAAATGTAGGGTAAACATTTCAACATAGAGTCACAAGAAACAACTTTCTCAATAGAAAACCTAAAGCTCAGGAAATAATACCAACAGTTAATAAATGGGATGGCATTAAATTAAAAAGCTTCTTCACAGCAAAGGGAATAATAATGTGAAGAGAGAACCTACAGAATGGAAGAAAATCTTTGCTAGCTACTTTTCTTACAGAGGATTAATCCAGAATATATAAAGAACTTTAAAAAAAAACACCCAAAGGGCCAAGTAACCCAATAAATTAACAAATGAATGAATAGATACCTCTGAAAAAATACAAATAGGCAAGATGCACAAGACCCAGGGTTCAATCCCTGGCATCACACACACACACACACACACACACACATACATATACACACACCAAAAAAAAACACAAATAGGCAAGAAACATGAAAAAATTTTCAACATTATTAACAATTAAGTAAATGCAAAAAAATCTTGCAAAGATTCAAATTTTAAAAATACTGACTTAGTTTAGATATTTATTTTTATAATCTTTCTTTGTAAACAGTTTTATTGAGACATAATTCACACACAATGAAATTCACTTATAACGTAACAATTACATTAGTTTTAGTATATTCACAAAGTTGTACAAACATCACAATAGAATTTTAGAATATTTTCATCATCCCAAAAGGAAACCTCTTACCCATTAGAAGTCACTCTTCATTTTTTTTTTTTTTTTTTTTTTTTTGGTACTGGGGATTGAACGCAGGGGTGCTTAAACACTCTCCACTATCACTCTCCATTTTTATATTGCTCCCCACCCCAGCCCTAGACAACCACTAATCTACATTTTGACTTTATAGATTTGCTTATTCTGGACATTTCATATAAATGTAATCATATAATATGCAGTCTTTTGCTTCTTTCAGTTAACATGTTTCAAAGATCATCCATGCTTATATATCATTCCTTGTTCATGTGTGTGTGGTACTGGGGACTAAGTATCTCATGCATGCTAGACAAGTGCTGTATCACTCAGCTACATCCCCAACCCTTTATTTTATTTTGCGACAGGGTCTCACTATGTTGCCAAGGCTGGCCTTGAACTTCCTCCTGCCTCAGCCTCCTGAGTTGCTGGTATTCCAGGTTTGCACCTCCATGCCTGGCCATCATTCCTTTATAGCACTAATTAATATTCTATTGTATGCACACACCACATTCTGTTTATCTATTCATCAGTTAATGGGAATTTGTGTGGTTTCTACTTTTTGGCAACTATGAATAATGCTGCTGTGAATATCTGTGTACAAGTTTTTGTTGAGTGTGTGTTTTCCTTTCTCTCAGATAGATACCAAAGAGTGGAATTCCTAGATCACATGGCAACTGTATGATTAGCATTCTGAAAAAAACTGCCACACTGTTTTCCAAAAAGGCTGCACTGCTTTACATCCCATCAACAATGTAAAAGTGTTAAAGGGCTGGGGTTGTGACTCAGTGGCAGGTTTGAGCCTCAGCATCAGATAACAAATAAAGGCATTCTGTCCATCTGCAACTACAAAAAAAAAATTTTTAAAGTGTTCCAATCCTTGGCAACACTTGTTATTGTCTCATTTTTTTATTCTATCCATTTCTAGAGGATATAAAGTGATATCTCATTTTATTTTGTTTTGGTTTGTTTGTTTTTGTGGTGCTGGGAATGGAACGCAAGGCAAGTGCTCTACACTGAGCTACATCCCGAGCCATGACCCCTAATGGCTAGTGATGTTCCATATCTATTCATGTGTTTATTGGGCATTTGTATGTCTTTGGGAAATTATCAACTTAAAACCTTTGCCCATTTTTAATTGGGTTATTTATGCTTTTATATCCAAGTTTAAGAGTTCTTTATGTATACTGGATACAAATCTTTAACCAGATATGGGATTTGCAAATTTATAGCAGAAAAGTTTTTGTGATAAAGTCCCATTTACCTACTTTTTGTTTTATGTGTTTTTGCTATCACATCTAAGAAGCCATTCAGGGCCAGCATTGAAATGTTGATCTGGCTTTAGTATTCTTATGTGTTACACCACACTGAGTATCTAGAAATTAAATCACTGTTAATAATATTGTAGTTTAAGTTCTTATCATGAGAGTTTCATATTTCGGTTTTAAAAATACCCATGGAGGGCTGGGGTTGTAGCTCAGAGGTAAAGTGTTCACCTAGCATGCATGAGGCATTGGGTTCAATTCTCAGCACCAATATAAAATAAAGATATTGTCACCACCTAAAACTAAAAAATAAATATTTTTTTAAAAATAAAAATAAAAATCTCCAAGGAGCAAAGACATCCCATAGTCATCCTTCAATCTTAGCACAGACATCTGAAGGATACTGGGTAGAGATGTGATTCCCATTAAAGGAGGACTGGTACAGAAGTTACCCACTGAGATGGATCCTATGCTACACACCTTTTATGCCTGTGATCCCCACCATGCACATCCTCTCAGCTATCACAGAGATTCAACACTGACACAGTGAATGCTGGGGAGCGCTCACTTTAATGGATTTTCTAAAAGGGTAATGGAAGGAAACAGTGACCCCAGGGCACCAGATGTCCTGCCATGAGTCCACACCAGGGCTCTGAAGCAGGCAGCCTCTCTATAGAAATTGCTCCCCTGTGGCAAGGATCTTACTGGGAAAAAGGTGTTCCCTCTACAGCCTGCAATTCTCAGTTGCTGTTTAACGTCCTCAGTTGCATCCAGTGGGTACAGTAGTCCCCTTTATCCATGGTTTTACTTTCCACATTTTCAGTTATCTATAGTACATGGAAATAGTACATAGAAAATTCCAGAAATAAATAATTTGTAAGTTTTAAATTGCATGCCATTTTGAGTAGAATGATGAAATATTACACTGTACTGCTTGTTACAGTTTATTGTTATGTGTCCTATTTTATTGTTATTGTTAATCTCTTACTGTGTTTAATTTATGAATTAAACTTTATCATATGTATGTATAATAGAAAACAGTATATAGAGAGTTTGATATGGTCTACAGTTTCAGGCATCTGTTAGGGATTGTGGCATGTTGTATCCTCTGCACATAACAGAGGACTATTGTACAACAGTCCTTGGGGTTGAAAAATAGTTGAAGAGACCAGAAAACATCAGTATGAAATCTGAACATTGCTGGATTGGGGTAACAAGAGTAAGGTAACCTATTCTAGGTATTAGGGAGCAGCTAGAAAGAGGCAGAAGAATCCAGGACTGAGAACACATCCCAAGAAACTGAAAAATAGCCACCGGGTTCAAAGACCAGTCCTGTAGTGATATAAACAGTCAGAATGATTATCAAATAGCCAGCAGGGCCAGAGATCAGTCCTTATAGTTAGTGGACAGGCAAAGAGAATATAACAACAACCAAATGGAAGAGGAAACCATCCCCAAATGTTATGTAACAGTGAGAAATACCTAAGCAGGCAGCCAGAGAGAACAAGGATCTATCTCTAGCACTCAGGGGACACCAGAGAAGCAAGAAAATAGCTAGAGGTACAGGCAAAGCCTTCAGATCTGGGGAACAGCAGGACTGTCAAACATCTGGAGAGACCACAAGAGTCCTTCTATTTGGAAAACAGTCCAAAGGCCTACAAAATAGACAGAGGCAGAGAGGATAGACCCCACAGCCAACAAGACCAAGGAACCCTCCCTGAAGCTCAGTGAACATTCAGAGAAACAAGACAATAGCCTGAAGAACTGGGGAACTACCAATTCTTCAGGAACAATTACAGTGATGGAAAGAACAGCCAATAAACCAGCCTAAAGAGATCAGGCAACACTGATTGGTCCTAAGATACGGTCACCAGAAGTGTGTGGCATCACCATAGAGATCAAAGCCAGTTCTGGTGACCAGTGAGGATTTAATAGAATGATAGGAACTGACATAGCATCAGCACACATGGCTATGGGAAATCATTGGGGTCCAAAACATTGTCATGGTGGCTAATGTGGTGTCATTTAAAACCCTAAAGGGCTTTAATGAAGGAGAGCCTCCAATGCACCTCTGGCATTATGCTGGAGCACATGAGGTCAGTACACTGCACCAGGGGACAATGAAGCATCAACCTACATGGGGATGGGGCCAGTGAATGGGATGATGCTGTGATGGAGACTAAACTACTTTTTAGTGGTGCTTGAGAGCTAATCAGCAAAGTGATTAAGGGCTAAAGTGGGGTCAGCAGACACTGGTTTCATTTTTTGTTGTGTTTTTTTTTTGTTTTGTTTTGCATTTTGTTCTTGGTACCAGGGATTGAACCTGGGGGCGCTTAACCATGAAGCCACATCCCCAACTCCCCCTGTTTTTTTAGATGTTGATGGACCTTTATTTATTTATTTATTCATTTATGTGCGGTGCTGAGAATCAAACCCAGTGCCTCACAACATGCTAGGCAAGTGCTCTACCACTGAACTACAATCCCAGTCCATCCCCAGCCCTTTTTTAAAAATATTTTATTTGTAGACAGGGTCTCACTAAGTTGCTTAGGATCTCACTAAGTTGCTAAAGCTAGCTTGGAACTTGCAATCCTCCTGCCTCAGCTGATTTTTTATGAAGCTCAAAGACCCTGTAGTTATCACCAAGATTATCAGACACCGTGATGGCATTAATGTAGGGTAGACAGGTATTGTGACTGAGAAACATGAGGCAAAGACAGTGGCTAGTAGTCATAGCATTGAGTCTAATAGTGACCGGCTCTGAAGTAGGGCAGAATCACTCTGCTGGGGCATCATTGCATCCAGACACTCTAACAGCAGCTAATGGAGAATCAACGTGCACAGTGATGGAGATCATTGCATTGTCAGCAAACACCGTGATTGGGCTTTGTAAGGGTCAAAGACATTCTTCATGACTGCTGAATGACCAGCAAGGTGAGGTTAATGTGGACTCAGCAAATACTGTGCTGGGAATTCATGGAGGTTAAAGTCTGTGCTCTTGTAATTAATTGGGAATCAGCTGACAGAGTGATGGTAAGCTAGGGTACAATCAGCAAATACATTGCTGGAGCATCATGGGTATCAAAGAATCTAGATAGCTATTTACTGGAGGATCAACAGAACTATGAAAGTGGCTAATATGGGATCAGTAGACTGTACTGATGAGGCCTTAAGAAGCGAATGATACAATCCCCATAGTTAATGGGGAGACCCATCAGACACAATGACTGGACTACCATGTGGACAAAAACTATGGTGATAGGCCCTAAAGGGGGTCATACTATGTACTGATAGCAAATAAGTCTAAAGACATTAATGTCAGCAGAAACATTGATAGGCTGTAATATATGGTTGGAAGACACAGTAATGGGGCCTATTATAGGGAACATGGATACCACTGTGTCCTCAAGGTTAAGAAACCTTGAAACTTGGCAAGTGAGAAATCAGAAGACAGAAGGACAAGGTCAAATGAGTTCTGAAGACACCAGGACTCAGAAGGATCAGATTCACCATACTGGTGGCTAACTGGGGAACAGCAGACAGACCTTGACGAAAGTGTACTGTGGAAGACACACTGTGCAGATGTGATCTAATGATGGGTGAGCAGACACCATGATGACAACTCAGTGGGTTAATTACATCATACTGGTAGCCAATGGGGCACCAGAGGACAAAATGGTGAGGTCAACAGACACTACATTAGTCTGAAGGAAGGTGGTAAGACACGTGGCTGTGATGGGAGGTCACTGTCCCCATGCTCAATGTAAAGGACAGTAAGCTACAAAACCAACCTGAAGGAGAATCACCAGTCTTATCAGGGGGCTGATCAAACTTGATGTCAGCTAATGGGGTCAGCAAGAATTGTAATGGCAGCTCATGGGGATGGCAAGACATGGTGCTGTGAGCTAATGGGAGTTTGGCAGACTCTGCTGGGGATAAGGGTGTGATCAAACAAGGTTTTGTGGGCTAGTTGTCAGTCGGCAGACATTGTGCTCTGGTCTGCAGAGCTGTGAGCTAATGGGGAGTTAGTAGACATGGGATGGTAAGTCATGGAGGTAAAAACTAGTGGGGTGGAGACTAATGTTAAGTTGGGAAGAGACTGTGGTTAGACTTCTGAGGATCAAATCTACACTGTGGAGTGGAGGAATGCCCTGGTCATGATGATAGTTAAAGGAGGGTCAGCATATCCCAGCAGGGGCCTCAGAAAAGGTCATATTCAGGGGTAAAGACAATTTCTAAAGCCTTAAGAGGATGGGGGGTTTTCCACTGTCCAAGTTTTTCATCTGCTTTAGTGGCCAGTATTCCTGATTTTTTTTCCTCAGGAAACCCAAGTCTTGACTCCTGGAATGAGAACAGAACACTTTTTATTGTTTTGTTTTCACATTTTAATTGAGACATAACTTATATACAATACAATGCATACATTTTAAGCTGCCCATTTGATGACTATTGTATACACCCATCAACACACACTCCAATCAAGATATGAAATATTTTCATCAACCCAAGAAGTTCTTTCCTACCCTTTATGAGTTAATATCCACCTCCAGAGGCAACCACTGGTCTGTTTTGTTACTATAGATGCCCTGTATTTAGGTTTGACATTTTCCATAATAAACTATTGAAACACAAAATTTTTAAAACATCAAATCTGATTTTCTTTTAAATGGGTGAGATAAAGATTGGAAGAGTTGATGAAATGGCTTTTTGATACATTTAATACTTAGTAAACCAGAGTAAGGGCATGCTGTATAGAAAATACAGGAAGGATAGTATATATATTCAATATATGCTGTAGTGTGGGTGTCTGAGGATTAATTGAAATGCCCTGTGTATCATAAGCATGGGAGATTCAGGGGAAAAGCAAAGCATTTATTTACTCTGGCATAATGCCACCCAATACTAAAAGGTAAAGGATTAACTCTTTAAAAAACGTATCATAAGGAAACATTCTCAGACTGGATGCGATGGCTCATGCCTGTAATCCTAGCAGCTCAGGAGGCTTAAGCAGGAAGGTCACAAATTTGAGGACAGCCTCAGCAATGTAAGAGACCATTTCTCAAAATAATAAAAAAGGACTGGGGATGTAGCTCGGTGGTAGAGTACCCCTGGGTTTTTTCTCAAAACAAAACCCACACAAAATTGAGAAGTTCACCACAGACACCCACTAGAGCACACTCTACTGGGTATTTTTCAGGAAAAGAGGAAAATGATCCCTGGATGGAGTGCAGAAAGTAAAGAAGAGGAACCAAGATGGCAAATATGTGAGTAAAAAAAAAAAAAAAAAAAAAAAAATCTTGCCAATATAAGATAAAAATGTTCGTGAATCCCCAGTCACTGAGTCGCTGCCAAGGACTCAGCAGCCTCCCGCTCCATGCCCCCTGCGCTTCCAGAGGCCCCACCCCCCGCCCGCCTTCTCCCGCAGCGCAGCCGCCTTCTGCAGGCCATTTCCACTGTAGAAAAGGAATCCTACCCTATTTCCCATATTTCTGCTATCCAGAACCTCCACTCTTTTGCTGATGCAAGCAAGGGTTATGACCTGCTTCCTGCTGGCACTGAGGATTAGATCCACATAAGAATTCAACAGAGAAACGTCTGGAAGACCCTTACTACTGTCCAAGGAGTCGCTGGTGATTACGATTAAAAGAAACTAATGGAGGTGTTTAGGAAGAAATTTGCCTGCAATGGTACTGTAATTGAGCATCCAGAATATGGAGAAGTAATTCAGCTACAGGGCGACCAGCGCAAGAACATGCCAGTTCCTGGTAGAGATTGGACTGGCTAAGGGCAATCAGCTGAAGGTTCATGGGTTTGAAGTGCTTGTGGCTCACTGAAGCTTAAGTGAAAATTTCCTTGCAATAAGTAGAATTTCCCTTCTGTCCCTTGTCATAAGTTTAAAAACCTCACAGCTTGTATAATGTAACCATTTGGTTATACACATGTGTGTATATGTGGGTGTATGTGTGTGTGTATGTGTATATATATATATATATATATATATATATATATATATATATACACATATACATACACACACACACACACACACATATGAGCAAAGTTGCTGTTAAAATTTTAGAGGACTAGCTGGACACAGTGGTGCAACACCTGTTATCCCAGCATCTGGAGAGGCTGAGACAGGAGGACCTTGAGTTCAAAGCCAGCCTCAGTAACTTAGCGAGGCACTTAGCAAGAGTACCTTGTGTAAGTAAAAGAGACCTGTCTCTAAATAAAATATCAAAAGGGCTGGGGATGTGGCTCACTGTTAAGTACCCCTGGGTTCAATCCTCAGTACCAAAAAAATTTTTTAGAAGACGAATATTAAGTGCTGGTGATGATAGGAACTTCTCAAACTTCTGACAGTATAAAGTAATCAAATTCAGAAGAGAAAAAAAACAATGAAGTTGACAAACTTTGACGCAGATTAATCAGGGCCCAGGTAAGACACAGAAACCACACTCATTATTTTCACAGAGAAAAGTTATTTTAAATAACAATTGCTTATAAAATTGGAGAATTCCCACATATAACTTAAGAGACAAAAAGAAAACAAATTTAAGTTTTCAGGGAGGTAGCAACTGTAGAAAGCAGCTAGGCTAGGTAGTAACAAAAGGATACCATTGGAATTATTAAAAATTAGAAAGGTGGAAGAGGGGTCCCATGTGACTGGGACTCATGCCTCTAAGGAGGTTTTATCAGCCAGCTGATGCCTATGTCTCAAAGCAGGTGGAGTCCCATAAAGCTGAATCTGGGGGGACTGGGAAATCTCGAAGTGCACAAAACTGCTTCTATGACAAGGAATTCTGCTGCCTAGTGAAAACGCAGTGTTGGCTGGACACACAGATGAAGGAGGAGCTAACAGGAAGGGGCAAAAGGACCGAGTCCCTTTTTTCCCCCCTCTCTCTCCAGTCCTAAAATTTACATCTAGTATCTCTTCTTGGCAGAGAGAAGCTGGCAATTCAGAAATGTGGTTTTTAGACTCACAAAGTATAATCTAGAAAGGTGGGTTTGGAGCTGGGACACAAGAGCTTAATAACTGCTGGCTGAGGTGGCACACACCTGTAATCCCAGCTGCTTGGGAGGCTGAGGCAGGAAAATCACAAGTTTGAGAGCAATCCAGGCAGCTTTGAGAGACCTTGCCTCAAAATAAGACATAAAAAGGACTGGGGATGTAGCTCAGTTGTAAAGTGCCCCTGGGTTCAATCTCCAATACCAAAAAAAAAAAAAAAAGAGCTTAGTAACTGGCACATCACTACACCCTATGAATCAGCAGTTCCACTTCTAGGTCACAAAACACAGAAACAATACAATGTCCTTCACAAGGGGAATGGAGAGGGGAATAAATAAATTAGACTTTTATCAACATGGATAGATATTGAGAAGGTAGCATCACATAAAAAAAAAGCCAGCTACCAAATTTTATTTTATTTTATTTTTTGGTGGAACTACAGATTGAACCCAGGGCCTTGTGCATGCTAGGCAAGCACTATACCTACTGAGCTATATCCCCAGCCCACCAAATTTTATCTATAGTGTGACAGCATCTGTGTAACATTAACAAGACCATGTAGTATTATACATTGCAGACTTCATTCTATACAAAAAGAAATCTCAAAGTGGATTGAAATTCTAAATGTTGGTAGAAACTTTAACTGCAGAGAAAAGTATAGAAAAAAAAAACTTTAGCAGAAGAATGAACAAAATGAATCAGTCATGGATTGAGAGAACACATTACATAACACACGAAAAAGGATTTTTATAATCTCATATATTAAACACCATTTCAACCAGGAAGTAAAACATGAACAGCCTATTAGAAAACAGTGAGCATACCAAGCACAGGGGCACCTGCATGTAATCCCAGCAACTCATGAGGCTGAGGCAGGAGGATCACAATTTGAAGCCACCTTCAGTAACTTAGTGAGGTCCTGTGTCAAAATAAAAAATAAAAAAGACTTGGGATGTGGCTTAGTGGTTAAGCACCCCTGGGGTCATTCTCTGGTACAGAAAAAAAGAAAGACAAAAGAGGGGCTGGGGTTGTGACTCAGTGGTAGCATGCTTGCCTAGCACGCATGACACACTGGATTCAATTCTCAGCACCACATTCAAATAAATAAAATAAAGATCCATCAACAACTAAAAATTTTTTTAAAAAAGACAAAAGAAAACAGTGAGCACCAGCTACTTTGGAGGCTGAGGCAAGTTCAAGGCCAGCCTTAGAAGCATAGTGAAACACAGTCTCAAAATAAAAAAGGACTGTGGCTGTGGCTCAGTGGTAAAGTGCCCATGGGTTCAATTCTCAGTACCAAATAATCATTGAGGAAAGAGTGTGAACAGTCAATACATGGAAGGAAAAACCTGAAGGGCCAAACGGATAAGATATTCAGCTTCACCACCAACTGGGGAAATACAAATGAAAATAACAAGGAGCTGCCCCCTAAGGGGGTCAGGAACTAGCTTTCCACCAAGCTAGGTGCCACACCATGATAGGGGTATTCTGAGTGCTCTGGTAATCAGATGCCCCAAGGAGCTTGATCCAGGGGTGGGGAGGGTCTTTAGGGAGGGGCTTTTTCTATTGCACATGGCAAGGGCCGGCCTAAGTGAGTTCTCCGGTGTTCTGTGAGGTGTGCCTTCCGGCAGAAAGCCTTCCCACACTCTTGACATTCAAAGGGTCTCTCCCCCGTGTGAATTCGCTGATGCTCAATGAGACGGGCTTTCACATAGAAGGCATTTCCACACTCGCTGCATTCATATGGTTTCTCTCCTGTGTGCGTTCTCCGGTGCTGGCGAAGGGACTTCCTCATGCTAAAGATCTTCCCACACTCAGTGCATTCATAGGGTTTCTCTCCTGAATGCCTTCGCTGATGCTCGATGAGACGTGCTTTCACGTAGAAGGCATAACCACATTTGTTGCATTGGTAAGGCTTCTCTCCCGTGTGAATTCTCTGATGGACCCCAAGAGAGGAGTGCACACTGAAAGCTTTCCCACATTCATTGCACTGATAGGGTTTCTCACCCGTGTGGATCCTCTGATGATTATTGAGAGTCATCTTCATTCGGAAGAACTTCCCACATTCTGCACATTCATAAGGTTTCTCCCCTGTGTGAATGCTCTGATGTTGATTTAAGGATTTCTTTGCCCTGAAATTTTTCCCGCATTCCCCACATTCATAGGGTTTCTCCCCCGTGTGAGTTCTCTGGTGCTGGGTGAGGGCTATCTTGACACGAAATGGTTTCCCACATTCACTACACTTGTAGGGTTTCTCCCCCGTGTGGGTCCTCTGGTGGATGGTGAGAGTTGCCTTCTCGGAAAAGGTTTTCCCACATTCTGTACATTCATAGGGTCTCTCTCCTGTGTGGGTTCTCCTGTGTAAAATGAGTTGTGACTTCCGGCCAAAAGATTTCCCACATTCAGGGCATTCGAAAGGCTTCTCCCCCGTGTGAGTTTTCTGATGGGCAATGAGGTATGATCTGGCACTGAAGGTTTTGGCACAGTCGCCACATTCATAAGGTTTTTCCCCTGTGTGTATTCGCAGATGTTCAACCAGGTTTGATTTCCTGCAGTATGCCTTCCCACATTCGTGACATTCAAAGCTTTTATCTCCAGTGTGTGTTCTTTTCTGTTGAAGGAAGCCGGTTTCCTGGTGGAAGCCTTTCCCACATCCATTATATTCAACGTTTTGATTCAAACTGTGAAGACTCTGATGCTGAAGCAGGCTGTTATCCAGCCTGAGGGCATTAGCCCCAACAGAGCTGTTGCCACACAGTAGCGAGAGAGATCCTTTAAAAACAAACCAGAGTCTGTCACTCTTTGAGGTACTAACACCTTCAAATGGCTTCTTTCATAGTGTAAAATTAAACTCCACCAGAGCCTTTATAATTTATATCATTTTGGCCCCCTGATGACTCACTGATACTACCTCTCAACATTTTTCCCTCTTTTGCCCTGGCCTTTTTGCAAGTCCCAGGAGATGTCACTTAGACTAGGCTTAGGCACTGGGTTCAATCTGCCCACAATATTCAAAATTCATATGGCTCAGCCAGGTGTGGTGGTGTACACTTGTAATCCCAGCAACTTGGGAGGCTGAGGCAGGAGGATTGTGAGTTCAAAGCCAGCCTCAGCAATTTAGTGAGGTCCTCAGCAACTTGGCAAGACCCTGTCTCTAAATAAAATATAAAAAGGGCTGGGGAGCTGGGCATGGTGACACATGCCTATAATCCCAGTGGCTCAGGAGGCTGAGGCAGGAAGATTATGAGTTCAAAGCCAGCCTCAGCAAAAACTGGGCACTTAGCAATTCAGTTCCTGTCTCTAAATAAAATACAAAATAGGGCTGGGGATGTGGCTCAGTGACCTAGTGCTCCTGAGTTCAATCCCTGGCACCCCCCAAAAAAGGGCTATGGATGTGGCTCAGTGGTAAGTGTCCCTAGATTCAATCCCTGGTACAAAAAAAGAAAAAGAGTACTGGATAACTTGACAAAAATCAAGATAAAACAACAGTGAATTGTGAGCATGATGTTGGGGTATGGAATTTAGGTATTGAAAGCAGTTAAACCTTCTGTCCTTATTTTCAAAGAGTTAGGCCTAGCAAAAGAGATTCCTAGAACATATTGTACAAGGATACCCTCTGACCTGAATTCCTGGGATCTCACTCCCCCTGTGTTCCATATGTCTGTTACTCACCTGAGTAACTCACCTGGTTACTCACCTGAGTAACCATGATCTGAAGATTCCTCCTCTAATATCCACAGTTCTTCTCCTCGCTCCAATTTGAAGATCATCTCTGGTTTGGCCACGCAGAGGCCTGTTAATGGGAAATGGCACAGGACGTGGGCCAAGATGTCTGAGCTTTGGGGCCTCTGATGAAGGAGGAAGGTGCATCTTCATGAGCTGCACAAGGAAGGGGGCCCATTTAAACCTTTCACTGGGGAGGTGAGAATACACACAGTTCTTCCTGGTGCCATAAACTGTTCAGCCAGTGTGACCCTTGAATCTGAAAATAAAATATCACTAAACTCTACAGAGGCTGCATGTGGTCTAGTGAACACATGCTCCCAGGAGTTACAAAAACAAATATCCTCACCCACGGATGCCAGGTTGCTGTAGGTCTCCAGCATCACATCCTTGTGCATGGTCCTCTGAGCAGGGTCCAGTCTGTGCCACTCTTGTCGGGTGAAATCCACAGCCACATCCTCGAATGACACGGACCCCTACAACAACAATCTCCAGTGATCAGAATTGGATGCATAAATTAAAAAAAAAAAAAGATGTTTGAGAACTGATCCTTTCAATGGAGTCTTATTGAGAGCACACTAGAAAGAGGCACACCAGATACCCCATCCAGTATCTTACTTGATATTACACTTTTTTGGGCAAAGGAAACCTGAAAAGTCACGCTACTGTGTTCATGCATTAATTCATGAAGAAAAGATTACTAAACTACTGAATTGAGACTGTGTGCCTGGTCCTCGGCAAGTTTCTGGGGAAATGAAAATGAAGAAGCCATGGGATCTGCACTTAACAAGTTCACACAAGCAACTCAGTGAGACCCTGTCTCTAAATAAAATGCAAAAAAGGGCTGGAGATGTGGCTCAGTGGTTAAGTGTCCCTGGTTTCAATCCTCAATACCTCATAAAAGGGGGGGGGGTTGCTGAGAACAGCAAAATGAGAGACAATGAGTCAAGGGAGGAGAAAGTGAGGTAGATCTTGAGACCCAGCAGGAGTGTCTATGGAATATTCCAATGGAAATGTCCAGCTGGAATTCAGGACAGAAGGCTGGCATAGAGCAAGGCTTGGGAGGCGAGATTATTTCACTACTATCTGAAGCTACTACAATGAATTGGGAAGCTAAGAGACAACATGGGTTTGAGAGGAGAACCTGCCGAGAGTCATAGCCGAGTCCAAATGACGCATGGCATTTTTGCCAGAAGGAGTGGTTGAGAGGTGACGCAAGCCATTGAGATGATAATGGTTATGTTAAGCTGTGTATATTAGACCCCTGCTGTCCGCCTGGGCCTGCTACTTTGGAGTTCTCGCGGGGATTCCCGGAGAGTTCCCATTGGTTGGGGAAGTGCCGGAGGAGGGATTTCCGGTTGGTGTGTGGTGTGTCCCGGGAGAAGGCCACGTGGGTGGCGTTGGCAGAAAAGCGCAGGTGCAGTGCTGGTGAGAGTTTAAATAAAGTAGTTGCTGTTTGAACCTACAAGGCTTTGTGGCGGCTCAGTTATTCATGCCCAGCCGGACTGCGGCAAGAACTGAGTACAGAGTCTGAGAGGCACCAATGTGCCATGAAGATTACAAGGCAAATTTTTGAATGGTAGGGACAGAACCAGGAAAGTATGATGTTTTGGAACATAAGCCAGGAGACAGTCTCAGATAACTGTGCCATTTCCAGTTTAAGATAGTGTGACTCAGTGGTAGAGGGCTTGCCTAGCACAAGGTCCTGGGTTCCACCATCAGCACCTCCATAAGAAAAGGATAGTGAATAATAACACACCCATTCATCTCGCCTATCTTTAAAAGCTAAAAGAAGACCTTTGGGCTGAGGCGCAGCCGAGTGGTAGAGAGCTTGCCTAGCATAAATGAGGCCCTGGTTCCATCCTGCACCACCAAAAAAATATTTATAATCTTCGGAGAAAAATGGAAGGCCCCTGTGAGACAAAGACACTAGGAGAAATCCTATTTTTTTTCTTCATGCAGTGCTGCCCCCAACAAAGCCTAGTGCCAACACTGCAATCCAGCAACAGCAGTCACCTTGAAGGAAAGGGAGTCCTACTCTCTGACCAGAGACAGTGGGAAGGACCCCTGCCACTTTTATCCTATCCTATCAAAGGCTGGTTCTGAAGGCAAACCTACTTGGGAAACCCTGAGTGCCATAGTGGAAACGCTATATCTCCAGCTCTGTAGTCAGCTCAGGGAGCTACAGTGGGAGGAGGAAAAGCTTGTGGATGGGCTGGGGCTGGGGCTCAGCAGTAGAGTGCTCACCTAGCACATAAGAGGCCCTAGAAATTAAAAAAAAAAAAACAATCAAAAGTGAGGGCTGGGGAATAGCTCAATTGGTAGAGTGCTTGCCTCACATGCACAAGGCCCTGGGTTCAATCCCCAGCAACATGATAATTAAATAATGAAAAGAACTGAACAGAAAAATGGACAAATCTACAACAATGACTAGAGACTTCAACAGCTCTCTAGGAGTAAGAACTAGTAGACAGAAAATCAGCAAGGATATAGGGAAATTGAACACCATCAATCAACCAAATAACTTTACACTCTACTCCAAAGAAAAGATGGGTCCTTCAAGTACACATGGAATATTTACCAACATAGACCATATTCAGGATCATAAAACAATCCTCAATAAATTTAAAAGAATTGAAAACATTCCAAGTATTCTCTGATAATAAGGGAATTAAACTAGAAACCAATAATAGAAAGATGCCTGGAAAATTCCTAAATATTCAGAAACTGAAGAAGATATTGTCCATGCACAAGGCCCTGGGCTCAATCCCCAGTACTGGGAAAAAAACAAACAAACAAAAACGCTTTCCACTGGTTGTGGTAGTGTGCTACTCAGGAGGCTGAGGCAAGAGGACTACTTGAGCCCAGGAGTTTGAGACCAGCCTAGACAACTAACAACAAACAAAAAAACACATTTCCACATAATGCATGGTCCAAAAAAAAAAAAAAAGACTCAAGGTAAATAAAAAATACTTTGTACTGAAAGAAGATTAAAATACAACATATCAGGCAGCTGGGGTGTGGCTCAGCAGTAGAGGGAGGCACTGGGTTTGATCCTCAGCACCACATAAAAGTAAATAAACAAAGATACTGCATCCATGTATAACTAAAAAAATATTTTAAAAATTAACAACATATTAGTATTTGTGGGGTATAGCTAAAGTAGTGCTGAGATAGAATTTTTTTAAAAGGAGAAAGAGAGAGAGAGAGAGAGAGAGAGAGAGAGAGAGAGAGAGAATGAATCTTTTTTTATGTAGATGGACACAACACAATGCCTTTTTATTTTTTTTAATGTGGTGCTGAGAATCAAACCGGGTCCCACACGTGCTAAGCAAGCACTCTACTTCTGAGCCACAAACGCAGCCCAAGATAGAAATTTATTTATTTATTTTTTTTTTTAAAGAGAGAGAGAGAGAGAGAGAGAGAGAGAGAGAGTGTGTGAGAGAGAGAATTTTTATTTATTTTTTAGTTTTCGGCAGACACAACATCTTTCTTTGTATGTGGTGCTGAGGATCGAACCCGGGCCGCACGCATGCCAGGTGAGCGCGCTACCGCTTGAGCCACATCTCCAGCCCCAAGATAGAAATTTATAACAAGAAATACTTACAGTAAAAAAATCTGAAATCAACAATCTAAGCTTCTTACAAAACTAGAAATGAGAGTAACATAAACTCAATGCAAGCAGAAGAAAGGAAATGATAAAAAGACAAGCAAAACTAAATATATGGGAAAGAATTGAGAAATAAATGACACCAAAAGTTCATTTTTTAAAAAGATTGATGAAATTGATTAACTTCTTGATGGACTAAGAAAGAAAAAAAAAAGAGATCACTTATTCATAGCAGAAGTAGGAGATATCACTGTATACTCCCTAGACACTGAAATGAGGAAAAAAATGAACACCTTTGTTCACATAAATTTAACAACTTAGATGAAATGGACGATTTCTATGAAATCCATAAAATACCAAAACTCACTCAAGAAGAAATAGATAACCTAAAGAACTATCTACTAAAAATTGAATTCTTACTTGAAAGCCTCTGAAAAAAGAAATTCACAGGCCCAGATGGGTTAACTGGTCATTTCTACCAGCCATTTAAGGAATATATCAATTCTACACAATCCCTCTTTTTTTTACTTTCTAGAAGAGAACACTTCTCAACTCCTCTTCCCCTCCCTCCCCCCCCCTCTCTCTCTCTCTCTCTCTCTCTCTCTCTCTGCTAGGGATTGAAACCAGGGCCTCACACATGCCAGGTAGGCAATCTACTAACACAGAGCCACATCCCCAGCCCTCAATTGTCAACTCATTTTGGGGGAGGTCAACATTATCCTGATTGTAAAACCAAAGACATGACAAGAAAATTACAGTCTAATATCCCTCATAAACACAGAAGAAACCTCAACAAATAGCAAATCAAATCCAGAAACATGTAAAAACATACTGTCTGATCAGTTGAAGTTTAACCAAAGAGTATAAGGCTGGCAGAAATTTTAAAAACCAATAGGAGAGGCAGGAGAATTACAAGTTCTTCGAGTGTAGCCTCATTAACTTAAGGAGGCCCTAAGAAACTTGGTGAGACTCTCTCTCGAAATAAAAAATAAAAAGGGTTGGGGATGTGGCTCAGGTCTTAAATACCCCTGGCGTTTAAAAAAAAAAAAAAACAATATGACCCACCATATTAAGAAAGGCTTGGGGTGTAACTCAGTGGTAGAGGGCTTGGCTAGCATTTACAAGGCCCTTGGTTCAATTCCCAGTGGGAGGAGATTGGTTAATTCCATAAAGTGAGATTATGAGAAATTTTCAAATTAAAAGTTTTCTAATTCTAATCATTTGGTTAAGATAGTGGCCATCAGGGGCTGGGGTTGTGGCTCAGTGGCAGAGTGCTCGCCTAGCATGCACGAGGCACTGGGTTCAATCCTCAGCACCACATAAACGTAAAATAAAGATCTTGTGTCCACCTAAAACTTAAGAATAAATATTTGGAAAAAAAGATAGTGTCCATCAGGTTTTTCCACTATAAAGTTACCATTTCTCCCTATATAATTAAAATGAGTAATCAGTGGAGATATATTGAGATTATGTATATATTTTGTTCTTTATTAAACTTTCATCCAATAGTTTTGCACCTCTCAAAGACTTCTGTATAACTCTATTTTTAGTATTACTTGCTTGACTATTACTAGATGCTGTGATATTGTCAAATATAGATTTGGTCTCCAGTCCCTGGCTTCTGACATATAACTCCCAAAATCCTTGGAATTTCTAGAGTGATAAGAGTTTTTTTTATATATGTTTATGGGGTGACTGGTGGCTGAGGGCCCCTAGTCACCCCATAAACATATGATATTTAGTCTTAAAAGGGTATTAGAAAAAAAAAGAAGGGTATTAGAAAGCTGGAACCAGGGACTAGAGAAGTAACTCATCAGTACAGCACTTATTTAGGATGTTCATGGGCCTAGGTTCAATACCCAGCAT